CATGGTCCCAGAGCAGGGGGTCCTCTGTGTGGGCTCTCAAACTGCAAGATAGCACCTGCCTCAACTGTCCTCCTCATCTGTTCTTCATGGGAAAGGAGGCCTGGCTGGCTGGGGGCTGCTCAGAGTTTGTGACAAAAACGTCACGGCACGGTAACAAGTTTAAATCACTGCCTTAGACTGAACTGAGCTGCTATAGGTGGAAGCTGATGTGGTTGGAGGGAGAAGATGTGGGCTGGGTGGGGGCTGAGTTAAGCCCTTGCATTTGCTGTGGGGGCAGTTGAACTAAATCCAAGAGATCAGAGCTCCTTCCACTGGTGCTTGTGTCTCTCTACTGCTCCCCAAGACTGTCACAACCATCACAACCAGCACAACCATCTCACCTGGACAACTACAAATATTGCCTGCACAATGGGGTAGATGATTTTGATTGCAGACAGGCAGCTGTAGAAACTCGAGTAATATCCTATTTTGAACACATCCATGACAAGGCTGAAAATGGCAAATAGGATCAGGCCTCCTGTTGGGGAACAAAAATATCTGTGGTTGGACAGAGGTGTGCACACATGGGCTAATGCAGATGGATGAGAGGAAGAAGAGGAAATGTTGTCATGAAGAGCCTTTGCTCCTACTACTGTTTTTCCTCTCCCAACACCCAAATTATCTTGGCAGCAACAAAATCATACTATAATTTTGGCTGGAAGTGATTTTCAATCAGCCTGGTATGCTGAGGCTAATAGCTCTTGCAAAAGCAGTGGGAAAGATCCTGGTGTAAGTTACTAAGAGCCTTCGTGGATTCAGGGAGACCTGGCAGTGCAGGGACCAGGAGCTGGCCTGAAGCAGAGCATGGTGCCATCAGCAGGAAGAGGATGTGCCCAGATCCTTGCTGCTGCCCTTGTAATAACTGATGCTCCCATGAACTGTCCATCCTGTATCTCTCCTCCAGCCCCAGCACCTACCTCTCAGCCAGATGGGCCCGGCGTGGGAGTCCTTGCCGAGGATGGCACCTGGGCACCGGGAGGTGCCGGCGAGGTAGAAGATGATCCAGATGATGACAATCAGCATCATGACTGTCAGCAGGAAGAAGACATCGTAGTCATGCACGGCGATCTTCTCGAAAGCCCCACTGCTCACCAGCGTGCAGGCCAGCAGGGCCAAGTGCACGGCCAGCAGGATGGAGAACATGCGGCCGCCCTTTTTCCACACTTCCTTGGAGGCAGGAGTGGAGGGGGACTGGTGGCTGAAAGATGCTATCTGGCTCGAGGCCAGGCTGGCTTTGTTGTCCTTGTGTCCACAGCCCATGCTGGAGTGGGGGTGTCCAAGCTCACTGTCCTTCCGCCCGGGCTCCTCGGTCATGGTTCAACCAAGGCTCTGCCTGAGGGTTCAGTGCTGTTGGGAAGAGAAGCCCATGAGTGAGAGGTGCCTTTGAAACAGCCCAGGACTGGGCCAAAGCAGGACACGTGATGGACAGGATATATCAGGAACAGGGAAGGCTGAGACAAGGAGCGCAAGAAGACCGATGAGCTCATTTTCAAACTTTCCTTTCCTGGTTCCCTGAAGGCTTTTTTCACTTAAGATGCTCTTGCTCAGGGAGATCTCAGGTCATTTTAATGAAGCGTGTCTAATTGGTCACACAACATTTATGTGTTTATTGATGCAAGATTTGGAAAATCACCAAAAAGCACTCACAGGATCAAATAACCTTGGGCAAACAGGCAGTGTGGTTTAAATTCTAAATGTCAGACACTAAACATTCTGAGAAATTGTTATACTTCCTTCCTGAGAAGCAGGCCACCAAAAGGTTAGAAATCTCTGGGAATCTCTGGACCATCACATCATAATTTGTAGCAGTTCCTGCAGGAAGGGTGTGAACTACCTGAGTTGTCACGCCCTCTAAAGCCTGTGCCAAGTTTGGCATTTCATTGATTCTCAGTGAAAAGACTGAAACAAAGTGAATTAATCATCCAAACAAAGCCATTCCACCAACCTGTTTTGCCACCTGGGATCCAAATCTCTGGTCCTTCCAGGCTGAGAAGTTTCTCTGTTGCTGCAGCTTGGTCAGTTGAATTTATACCTGTTGGGACGTCTCTGTAATTCATACCATGTCTGGAGTTGACAGCAGGGCTTTGTGGGCTTCTCAGAGAAACTCATGTGATCCATTTTGTGCAATAGCTGATTTTGGGGAAGCTGAAAAGAGATGAGGAGATAAGAGTTATTTACCAAGCAAGGGCATGAGTTGACAACACTGCTAATCATGGCATGGACTGCTCGGTCACACGGTCATGGTCACCACAGAGCAAGGCCACCCCACCAAATCCATCTCCCTACATGCATGAGGTCTCTTTCCTTGAGAGAAGATGGTTTAAGCGATTAACTTACTATTGGTGATGACTTTGTGCTTGGCTTTCCGCTTAGTGGAGCACAGTAAACATTGTGCCCCACCCTGTGCTATTCAAATCAGTCCACTCCATGCCTCAAAGGTTTTTGAGGAAAAGGAAGAAATTTGCATTTGTACCTGCTCAGTGCCAGTGAGGGTAACTCAATCCTTTCCCACCCATGCTGTCATCAATGAGGAAGGCTTAGCACTAGAGAAGGGCAGGATTTAGGGATGGGAATTTGTGTTCTCCTTTGCTGACGCACTGCCTTTGATTTTTCAGGGTGGGATCACCTTCCTCTGGACCTCAGGACCTTAACTCCTCTCCTTCCAAGGAGTAACTGTGTCACAAACCACAGGGCAGATATGATTTAAATGTTTGTCTGCTAAGGGGACAGTTTCTGCTCAAGGTCCCTTTACTCAGCTATGTTTTGTGGGGGAGCTATAGGAGTCTCACGGCAGTTCTGGGTGGATGGGGACAAGTTTTAGTCCTTGAAATGCCTCTTTTGGAGATGTCTCTGCTGCTTTTCCCCTTCAGGGTAAGCACAGAGCTGGGGCCATTTGCTGTGTGTTTACTCAGTCCCATTCCTGCCTGCTTGTGTCCTTGCTGTGCTGCAAGGACAGCACCAAACTGAGTTGTGTGGGATGGGGAAGGAGAGCTCAGGATCCCCTGCAGAGCCCAGGGAGAGCTCTGTGTGTCCCTCCGAGCTGCCACCAGCTGCACCAGGTCTGCCCTGCCTGGCCTCTGCTGAGCCATAGGGATTCCTGTTGGGGTGACTGGTTGATCCTTCTCAGCCTCCAGCCTTTCCCAGGGGAAGCCCAGGCCTCCCAGAAGTAAATCCGAGCTGACAGTGATGTTTTGCAGAGGCCAGAAGTTCAGAGGCCCCTCGGGCTAAACACGCTGGTGTACCCTGCCTCTCTTGTCCTTACCAGCCAGCAATAGAAAACAGAAAATAGAGAGTGTTTACTGCCTCGGGCAATGCTCCCAGTCCCCCTGGCAGCCACTGCACGTCTACGGCGCAACAAATTCAATTAGCAACAGTACAAGAATCATTAAATAACGTCGGTAATGAATTGCAGGCGTTACTGTACTGCTTTTCACCTGCAAGGATCCCAGCAACGAGAACCTCAGTGGCCACTACATCCCATCAGGGCTTGCCCAGGAGGCTGAGCTGGTGCAAACAAACCTGCTGAGGTGAGCAAACCCCACCGGGAGCAGACGCTGGCTCTGATGCACTTCCAGGTGTTCCCGGGCAGCCGGAACGCTGACATGGCATCAGTCACCCAGGGATTAATCACTGCACTTTGCGTGGGTGCACCTGGCACTGCTTTAGGGCCACCCTCCTGTCTAGGGGCTTTTTTTTTTTTTTTCCCTAACAAAAATAAGCTGCCTTTCTCACTGTTTTAGTTCCTCTCTGCTCATTGCCTTCTGATGCTGTCTTACATTCCTTCCCCGTTTTTTCACGCTCCTCCCGTTTCTCACCCTTCTGATGGCTTCACCCTCTCCAAAGCCTGTGCCTGTCCCAGGGCCATGGTGACACACACAGAGTCCAGCCCTGGAGATCCCCATTCCCAGAGTCAGGACATTACAGGTAAAATGAACACGAGAGTAGCAGGAAATTCCTCTTCCATGTCAGCATATCCCAGGGAATACAATCCACCGATTCATCCCTGGGTGTAATGTATTGGGACAGCTTCGTGCTTCGGTCACATCCAGGCTTGGTTCCATCTTTCCGACGGCAGAGGGTGCCCAGGAACCGGGAACGCTGTGCTGGAGACATCGCCTGGCTCTGCCCAGCTCCCCCCGCTCTCACCCAGCCGGGAATTCTGTGTCAGCATAAAAGACACCAGGGGCTGGACACTGCACCCACTGCACATCGCAGTGAAGTACCGAGTTACACACAGGGCTTGGGGTTTTTTTAAAGTCTCCAGAGAGGAAAAAGAGGTGAGGAAGGCCATTACGAGTTTCCTTGGTTTATCGGATTCCCGTTGTGCAGTTTGTTCTGCAATTCCTTGGAAAGCAGAATTCTCTGGGTATAGGCAGGGTAGATGAGGGACAGGAATGGTAACTGGGTCTGCTGTTGTCTTCCTAGTGACAACAGGGAGAGATACAAATAAATACTTTTTTAAAAAAAATATTTGTTTTGTTTTTTTTAAGTGAGGAAAAGCTGAGCTGTGAGCACCCCTGGTATTACTTTTGAATCCATCACCACACTGCTCTCAGTGAGCTCCACAGAAAGCAGGATTATCCATCCAGGGCCAGCTCTGACAGGGCTGTGAGTGAAGGCTGTGGGGCTTGTGCTCCACTGACCCACTCTTCCTCCTCTGGCTACTGCTGCCCCTTGCTTGAGGTGGGGCATGGAATAGGGGCATTTTGGGCAGGGTACAGCCCAGCAGCCTTTCTGACAGCCTGCTCTGCTTTGGGGACACGTAAACCTGGTGAATTGTCGCCGTGCTGAGCCCAACAGAGCGATGCTGCTTAACTGGAGCTTTTAATGTGCCTTGGAGCTGGTGCGTGCTGGAAGGAGCAGCCGGGGCCGGAGGATGCTTAGGACCCAGGGGAAGCGCTGTGGAGCCTGGCTGGCTGGGCTTGGAACGACTCCTGCCTCCCCAGCCAGGACTTCTCAGGTGTCCTGGTACGCGGAACTGTGCGAGGCGAGCGGGGCCCTCCTGGCAGCTGCCCCTGGACCCCCTGGGCACCCATGTGCTGCCTCAGGGACCCCTTCACACCATGAATGACCAGTACCACCGAGCCGCCCGGGATGGCTACCTGGACCTGCTGAAGGAAGCCACCAAGAAGGACCTGAACTCACCAGATGAGGATGGCATGACCCCGACCCTATGGGCCGCCTACCACGGCAACCTGGATGCCCTGCGCCTGATTGTGAGCAGAGGGTGAGTGCTGGCCAGGCTGCCCTGCAGGACAGGGTAGCTGGGACCCCCTTCTTCCCCCTTCCCTGCTTGCAGCTCTGTGGGCCCCACATGGGGCACACATGGCTTCTGTCCATAAAAACCCTACTCCTGTCCTCCCTGCTGTTACTTTTCTTTGCTTGTGGTGCTTTGAATCTAATCCAACACTCCTGATAACTGCTCTGTGTTTTCCCACCTCCACTGACCCTGTAAATGCTCCTGCCCCCAGCCTGCTTGCAGCACCCTGGCTAGGGATGAGGTTCCCTTTCCAAGTGGTTTGTGATCTTTTACAGGTCCTGTAAAGACAAACACATTGTGCTGCTGACATGGAAAAGCCCTTTTAAGTGAGGGGACAGAGAAAAATAACTGCTCCCTCTGTCACAAGAATGCTCACAGAGGGATGATGTGTGCAGTGCCAGCTGGCAGTGGGTAGCACTTGTCTGTTTTACCCAAAGCAAGGTCTCAGTATGTGACCACTGGACAGCTTGTTGTACACTTGGAGCCTGGGAAATTCAGGTTTTCCAAGAGCACATTTCTTAAAGCCATCTCTCCACAGGGCCTGCTCCACACTGGTCTGGCTCTCTGTACCTCACCCTGGGCTGCCAAATCTTAAGAGTTTCTGTCTCCCTAAATGTGGATGTGGTGGAGAGGTGGGAGTGGGATTAAGGGGACTTGTCAGACTGGAGGGATATACACCCTGGTGCTGGGGGAACCACATAAGGTCTGTGCTAAAGATTCCTAGTTCCCCCTGGAAAGTCTGTGACTCTCCATTTCTTACTAACCCCCCAAAAACACATCCCAAAGCTTCCTTCTGCTCCAGTAGCTCATCTAAAGCTGGAGTGGCTTCTGCCTTGTGTTGAGGGCTTGGTGGTGCTGATTTTGATTTGTGTCTTTCTAATATTGAGGGATGGTACTGAGGTCAGCAGCCTGGATGGACATCACACCTCTTTGGAAGGGTTTTACTTCTCCACATTTGGCTTGGTGGTCCTGTCAGCTCCCATGCAGAGATTTTTCATCCACCCTGGGCTGTGTTAGCAGCTCTTGTACCTGACCAGCCACATCTCCACTGCACTGTTCTGTTTTGCCATATCCTGATACTCTGGTTTGCTCGTGCAGTACCAATACCTCTCCTGTGCTCACAAGCAGAGCTCCTCCATCCATTGCTGTCCTTTCATTGTAAATCATTTCCTTTCAGATCCTGAACTGAAGGCTGTGCACAGAGTGGCTTTGAGAGGTCCTTGAGCACCAGATACAGTAGGAGTGTGCTCAGGAAAAGATTATTTCTGAGTCTGGAAGGGACTCAGTGCTCTGAGTGGAGCATCCTGTGACTCCCTGTGTACTGCCCAGGAAAGACTGTGCCCAGCAAAACCTGCCCAGAGCTCCTGTCAGGATGGGAATTGCTAGCCAGGGCCAGAGAGACATGGGAGGAATGCTCAGAGGATGACACCCTGAAGTTAAAAATGGTTCCAAAGACTCTTTGATGGCCAAAAAGTCAATCTGGAAGGCCCAAGGAGTGGATTAATGCCCCTCCAGAAAGGCAATGCCTTTTGGACTGACTTTATAATCTCTTCTTACCCCTGTATCTCCTCATATTGCTCATCCCCACTACAGGGCACCCTGAAGCACCACTGTCTGCTCAGCCAACCCCCATCCAAGCCAGCAGTTTCTGCCTCTCCACAAAGCCCAAGGGCTGCTTTTATAAACTCACATTGGATTAAAAGGTCTTTGTGGGCTCAAATCGTGTTCGAGTGCAGCTTGGCTGCTGTTTAATTAACAACCTAATATACATTTGTTCCTGACAAGGAAAATAGCCTGGCAAAAGCCCAGTGCCCTTTACATGATGGATGATGGAGCAAGGTGTGTGGCTGTGGGACTGCAGGATGTGTTTGCATTCGTGCATTCATCTCCATGTGTCAGATCCTTGCCTGGGGCCACAGAGAGACCAGCAGAGTGTTTGGCATGGAGGAAAGCACATCCCTGCTCCTTGGAGCTGGCTTTCAGGCTGTGAGAGGCAGGAATACCCCAGCCTGGGGACAAGGGTGCCAGAGAAGTGGGATTCTGCAAGAGCCAGGAGAGCCTGAGGACAGAGCCTGTAATTTTCTGCCAGTGCCCAGGATGATGTGCCACAGTATTTAAGCCTTGTTCAGAGATGAAACTTAATGCTGTGTTATATATGTTACTATTATATCTGCACTATAACCACTGTGAGGCAAGAGGGAGGCATCTGAGTATCCCAAAATGTCAGGGAATTGCTCTCTGGCCTCTGCTGCCAAAATATTCCTCCTTTGGTTCAGAGACCCCTGCACTATGAGCCAGGGGAGGGTGGGACTGTGGCATGGAGCAGTGTCTGGGGGAGTGGAGGCTCTAGGGCTGGGCTGGCTCCATGCAGGGATGGAGTGGGAAGCATCTTCAGGCTCTGAGGGGCCTGGTGAGCCTCCATCTGGGTTGCTTAGGGGTGTCAAAGCACAGAGGGTGATGGGGGAGTCCTGGGGCAGTAAGAAACACCAAAATCTCCTTGCCAGTGCTGGGCAGTGCCCAAACAAGCTGGGACATTGAGTGCTAGGGCCAGACTGTTATGGACTGCCCTAGTGAGGGTGGCCAGAGGAACCCTGAGAAAGCAGGGCAGTGGGAGGGGGCTCCTGGGGCCAAAATCATGGCTCTAATGTCCTGCCAGGCTGATGGACACATCTAGGCTCTGTCATCAGTGAAGGAGCCTCATCCACGTGTGTTCAGCAGATTATGGTGTCAGGCTGAAACAAGAAGGGGGAAAGAAATCCTCTGGTAGATCCTTGAGGGAAGCTTGTTGCCCCAACCACATGGAAGGGGTAACGGAGCAGGTTTATTGCACTGCCCTGACCAGCTGGTGATGTGTCTGTGCCTCTGTGCCCCCTCTGCAATGGACAGAGAGAGGGTTTGGGATGGAGGGATCAGCAGTGGCTCATCCTTCTTGTTTGCTACACAAAAAGCCTTTTTCTTCCTCCTGGCCAGGCTCCAGTGAGGAAAACAAACTCAATTAACATGACGGCTGGGAAGAGGCAGGCAAGCTGGCATTTAGCATTGCAGCTTTTCAGAAACACTAATTCTTCAGAGTGGTTTGTTAGGCGCTGCTGTGGCAGTGGCGGGCACCAGTCCAGCTCCAGTTATAGGCAAGTCTGGGGGCCTTGGCTGGGATCAGCCAGGATTTCCTTGGAGTGGACAGCAGGAGAAGTGAGGATGTGTCTGCAGGTCCTCACTCAGCTTTGTCACCCAGCAGAGCTGGTCCTTATTTTCCCCTCTTACAAAAACAGGGGGCACAGATACTTTGGATGTCAGTGGCAGAGGGGACAAGTGGGTCAGCAGTGGTTTGGGGGTGCTGGTGGCTCCTGACATCAGCCAGGCTGCTCGAGGGCATCACATCACCCCAGCTGGGGCAGGGTTGCAGCGGAGGTTGCAGCAAAGGCACGTGAAGGTGATGTACATCCTCTGCATGCCACAGGGCTGGAGGCCACGTGGGAGCCGGGGCAGCCTGGCTGTGTTGGTGGGGACCTTCCCTGGGTGACAACCTGCCAGGATGGTGAAGGAGCAGGGTGGGGCACTCTTGCAGCCTGGTGGCTTCCGGCACCTGAGCTGTCTGCTGGGAGTGGGGGAGAGCCCTGGGCACGGCGAGGTGCTGAACCAGGAGATGTGGCCCCAGGCACTGCCCCAGCACCAACAGGGACTGCCAGCCCGGCTTTCTGCTGGAACAAGAGGCAGAGAGCCCTGGCATGACCCTCATCTATAGCATCCCTGCTGGATTTTTGGGGATTTGAAGCTGGAGGACAGCTGAATCCTTGGGTTATCACCACCTGGGAAAAACTTGGAATACAGAACCCAAAGCTCTGCTCTGAGCCCAAAACCTCATCTTTTCTGCTCTTTTCCAGGCTTTGCTTGGGTCATTACCCTGACTAACTATGCTGAAGGTAGTGAGGATTGTGCCTCAAGCCATAAATTACTTTTTTTCACTCTTCCTCAATCCAAAACCATTTCATGCCAACTGCACCCAGTTGGCTCCTAGTGTGAGGGCCCAATTCCTCACACACACCCATGAGCCAAGGGTGAGCCAGCCCTTTGTTATCGGAGGAACTTCACACACGCAGCCAGGGAAGAACATCTGTAAGTGCCCCTGGATTCCCCGGCTAATTGGGATCCTATGGGAGAAGCAGAGGGGAAAAACCAGCAGGAAGGGAGTGAGCATGCATGTCATGGTGCAAACACAGTGACTCAAGACATGCACATGTCCACCTAAGGGGCCCAATTAACAGTGTTTTAATAATGATTATTACAGGAGTTGACTAAGTGCTCAAAAACGCTTTGAAGCGCTTTGAGAAGTGCTGCGCTTTACACCTGTTATTAAAATACGTTCCCACTTAGTGGACCCTGCAGTCAGCATCTCCTAATGTGCAGCACCCCAGAGGTGAAGATTTGCTCAGACAGACACCTGCCAGAGGGAGGGCCTCATGTTTATTATCTGAGTTGAATCAAACATCTCTACTTTGCAAGTCACCTTTCTTCTTTCCTTCTGATGCATTTTTAGTGCCTGAGGCAGACATTTATAGAGAAGAGGGCTTGAAATTTCTAATTTTGCTCTAATACTCTTGTTTCTAGACAGTGGCAATGACCAGGGAAAGCTGGTTTTGATGTTCTTTCCCCTCACTCTCTGAGGAAAGTAGACTTTCACATATGAAATCGCTAGGACCTCCCTGGCTTTGCCCCCTGGACCAGACAGATCTGAGAACAGGCTCCAAAAGGTACTTGATGGATTGAGCATCCACACACTTGTTTTAGGGAGCAAGACTGTTTCCAGTGAGTCCACTGCTCAGTCACTGTCCACATCATGAGTCCACACACACATTAGGACCCTTGGGGTGCCCTGGCTCACCTGCCCACACATGCCAGGCACACAAGTGCCCTTTCAGAGCACACAAAACAAACCAACAGCCCTTCATGCACTGGAGTCTCTCCACCAGCACCAGCAGTTTCATGTGGAACAGGTTCACTGGCTCTTTAAATCCAGCTCCATCAATAATTTACTCCTCTCTTGCAATTCATCAAATATTTATCCTCCCCATGCATTTCCCAGCCTGGACATGTCACTACGAGGGTAGAGGCAAAGGCTGGGACTTACTGCTCCTGGAAACTCGGCATTGCCAAATTCCTCCTCTCCTTTTCTTGGCTTCATGGCTCCTCAGCCCTGTGATCTCCTGCCTTCCCCCTCCTCATCACCCATCTTTGAAACCTTTTTCTCCTTTATGAGAGATGTCAAAGGCTCTGGCTCAGAAGTCCTGAAGGGTTCGTGGTTTTTTGTGGCCTTACAGAGTTCCAAACCTTTTGATTAACTTGCTGGATTTGCCAATGAGCTCAAGGCTGTACTTACTATGCTCCTGTAAATTTAGTGAAGACATGTTTATGATGGAGTTTCTGTTCATGTTCCCACAGAGAAAGCTGTGTGCACCTCACACAGTGAGTGAAGTTAGGAAGTTCATGCTCTGGGTGCAAATAATCTCCAGCTTAACCTCTGGACAGGCTTAAATGCTTCTTTAAAGCCTGAGGATTGCAAACTTGGCATTAGACTGACTGGGCAGTTCCTCTCTGTCTCTGCTGCCCCTTGGACAGTGTTCCAAGCAGGCAGTGGGGTCCCTGTGTGGGGATGAATGTGCTGCATGAGGCTGTTTCTGGGGTTTGTGCATTGCCACAAAGTGATGAAGGTGCAAAGCAGCAGGGCAAAGAAGTCCCTCTGCTCCTGTGATCTCCTGCTCTTTCCCTGGAGAAGTTTTTGGACTCTTTGAAGTCAGACAAGCCATAGCTCAGAGCACATGGGATTTGGGATAGAGTTCTGGGCTCTGCTGCTCCCAGCTCTCTTCAACACAGACCCTAAAGCAGCAAGGAGTTAAATAACCCTTGCTGAAGGTCTCAAGTGTGTGTTTAAGGAGTTAGACCTGATGATCCTTGATGTGACCTCGAGGTCACTTTCAATTCTCTATATTCTGTGATTTGCTTTCTGCACTCCTGGTGTCACCATGGATTGGAGCTGAGGTCTGTGTGGAGGAGGAACAGCGCTGGGTTCCTCTGGAGCTCACTGAAAATGTGCTGTGGGAACAGCAGGAGCTGTGCTGAGCCCTGCTACCCACGAGGAATTGCTCCTAAGGGTGGTGGAGCTGCCCAGCCTTAATAAAAGGCTTTGCCATATCCATGTGCACGGAGGGAGAGAGCCCTGTTGACAGATACTGCTGCTGGCTGCATATCATTAGCACACATGCTCAGGAGAGGGCTGGTGCCAGCAGGGGTGTGAACTCTCTCTCGTTTCACCTGAGCACAAATACAGAGGAATGTCAGGAGGACAGACTTCCCTTGAATCCCAGGTTTGTGTTCATCCTGGCAGGGGAGGCAGGAGATGTGAACAAATGGTTGTGTCCTGCCAGCAGCTTGCTGGGGCAGGGGCTGGCACAGTGCGAATGGAGATGCTACTGGCAGTGTCCAGCTCTTGAGGAGTGCAGAAACCTAATCTCCACTTTCTCTGAAACTGGATTCTCAGGATGTGCTAATACCAATGTGCTTCCAGCCGTGCTATCAGGACCAAGCATGGTACAGCAAAATCCCCCACAAAACCCCAATGCCAAGGCCAATGACAGCAAAATCACTCTTATTCTCTCCTGCCAACATCCCCCTTTGTGCCACAGATTTCCCCAGGTGCCAAGGAACAGGTGGGTGGGAAGGTACAGCAGCTGGGGGGTTTCAGAATCGTACTGAGGGTTACCTGAGGGTTACCATGAGATATGGTGGGATCCCAAGGTGTCCAACCCAGGATGTGGCACACAGAGGGGCATTTTGGCATGCCCCCCTGCCAGGAGTCTGAATGAAGTCAAGATCTGAAGGTGGAATTTGAGTAGAATTTAAAGGGATATTTGAGATTTGAAATTTTATAACAAGCTTAAGGTCTGAGCTGGAATCAGACCCATATCTCAGTTCTGGGCTATTCAGAACCTTACTTGCCTTTCTCCAGAAGTTGGTTTGATGTGGGAACACATTTTTTGTGATACCTAAATTCAAGTCACATTGCCACAGACTTGCATGTGAGGCATATGATTCCATTTCAGTAGTACACCCCTCCAGAAGACCCCATTAAAATTAAGTTGCAGGAACCAGAGGTGTGTAGCTTGATATTTCAAGGAGTCAAGAATTCATGGTGCTGATTTGCCCCTGCACAGCTGGGAATATCTCAGTGGGGTCTGCCATCAATCCCTGCATGCTAACCAGTTGATTTTCTTGCTGCCTAGGGGCGATCCAGACAAATGTGACATCTGGGGGAACACCCCTCTCCACCTGGCAGCAGCCAACGGCCACTTGAACTGCCTCTCCTTCCTCATCTCCTTTGGGGCCAACATCTGGTGCCTGGACAATGACTACCACACCCCCCTGGACATGGCAGCCATGAAGGGGCACATGGAGTGTGTGCGGTACCTGGACTCGATTGCTGCCAAGCAGAGCAGCCTCAACCCCAAGCTGGTGAGCAAACTGAAGGACAAGGCCTTTCGGGACGCCGAGAGGAGGATTAAGGACTGCGTGAAGCTGCAGAAGAAGCACCACGAAAGGATGGAGAAACGGTACAGAAAGGAGATGTCAGATAATTCGGATACCATGAGCTTTTCCAGCTATTCGAGCAGCACCTTAAGCAAGAAGTTCCAGCACATGTCTATGGTGACTTCCCTGCCATACTCACAAGCCACCATCCATGGCACAGCCAAGGGGAAGACGAAAATACAAAAGAAGTTAGAGAAGAAGAAGCAGGTGGATGGGACATTCAAGATCTACGAAGATGGGAGGAAAAGCGTGCGGTCTCTGTCTGGTCTGCAGCTGGGAAATGACGTCATGTTTGTGAAGCAGGGCACGTACGCCAGCCCCAAGGAGTGGACTCGCCGCAATATCCGAGACATGTTCCTTACGGATGAAGACACTGTCTCCCGTGCCATAAGCGACCCAGGTTTGCACATGGACTCAGCCCACTCGGAGGTCAGCACCGACTCTGGACACGACTCCTTGTTCAACCGCCCGGGGCTGGGCACCATGGTGTTCCGGCGCAACTACGTCAGCAGCGGGCTCTTCGGGATCGGCCGGGAGGACGGGGGAGCGCTGGGGGAGGACAGCAGCGATGGGATGGGGGTCAAACTGCAGAGCCGCCTGCAGCGCTCGCCAAGTCTCAATGACAGCATTGGCAGTGCCAACAGCCTGCAGGAGAGGAACGCAGAGGAGCTGCCCTGGGATGAGGTGGAGCTGGGCTTAGACGATGATGACGAACCAGACACCAGCCCCTTGGAAACTTTTCTGGCTTCCCTGCACATGTTTGAGTTCATCTCCATCCTGAAGAAGGAAAAGATTGACTTGGAGGCCCTCATGCTGTGTTCAGACAATGACCTGAAGAGCATCAATATCCCACTGGGCCCCAGGAAAAAGATTGTGGATGCCATCCAGAGGAGACGACAAACGCTGGAGAAGCCAGACGTCATTGTAGACACTGAACTGTAAGTAGGAGATGAGGCGTCTGAGAGGTTAAACCCTTCAGCAGGTGGAGATGTGGATAATGTAAAGTCTTGTTTTCAACCTGCTTTGGAAGAGTAGGAGTCCAGGTAACCTCAGCACTTCTGTGTGTGGGCACATTCCTGCTCGTGTGGAAAGGATGAGTTTGGAGAGGTAGCAATAGTGTTAGTTCATTACTCAACAACCTTAATGTAACTGGGCAGGACATGAAGCCCGTGTTTCGTTTCATAACCCATTTGAATGCAGACTGCTCTGTGGTCTGATGCTTCTCAGTCCATGTAGCTGAGATTTTCAACCACACTCACGCTTGTCTTGACTCTTCACCTTTTCAAGACATTAGGAAATCAACCGCAATTCCCAGTGGGAGCAGGCTGACGGCAGTGCCCGGTGGCATTGGGAATCCTTCCCCAAATGCCTGAGATCTTACTCAGTCCTCTGGAGATTGCATATGAGGGTTGGAGTTGTTGCTGTTTTATGGTATTTCCAGGGTTTGGTTGGTAGGGTTAAAGGACAGGGTACCTGTCAGAGAGGTGAAGGGAAGGCAACATGCACTGACACGCACAATTCACTGTGTTTGGCCTTCAGACAGCTGTGTGCTGCTTTTACACTACAGCTTGTTCCTGGATCCTCAGGGTGCTGATGGATTTTTTTTTCTTTCCCTTTGCAGATAGCAGCAGCATCTTTTTTGAGGGTTTTTTTGGTTGGGTTTTTTTTTGTGGGTTTTTTTTTTTAATTTTATTTTTATGCTCGAGAAACAAACCCAGTTCTAAGTTGCCAGAAAACACAAGCCAGAGACTCCCTTCCTGGGGCAGCTGAAAGCTACAGCCATCCCCACCAGTCCCACAGGAGTGCTCCCTCACTCTGCTCCGTGTCTGTGCGATGCTCCTGGGCAGTTCCTGGCACCGAGGGACAACAGCTGAGATTGGACCAGGCAGCTCCAACCTGCCAACCTTCAAGGGATCATGGTCTCCCACTGACTGGAGGAAGGAGTGAGCTGCACAGATGGCTGGGATGCTGCTGTCACAGGCTGTGAGACCACACCAAGCCATGAACGGAAGGAGATAACGTGATATTTTCAAAGGGACCCAAAATAAATAATTACAATCCATTTTTTCCTGAGCAAGTGGTTGTTTTGGGGTTTGGGTTTAAGGAGCAGAGGGTTCGGGAATTCTGCTCTCTCTCCTAGTTCTCATTTGGTGAGAAGCATCATCTTGTCTGGTGCTATGTTTTCGGAGGGGAGTTCTGATGACTGTGGTCTCAGTTTGAGATGTGCCAGCCCTGACTTTGGCCAGCTGGTGCCCAACAAGTCTGTGAGTCCAGCCTGTGCTGTTTTGAGGGCAAAATCCAAAATGAAGATGATGCTTCAAACACACTGGTAGTTGCCTTCCAGTGGTCAAATGTTTGTTTCACAGACATGTTTCTGTCCCATCTCTCCAGGGCACTGAGCTGTATCAGCACTTTGTGTGCAAACAACCTCATCTCTGAAATCCAGCAATTTCCCAGGACTGAGCACAGCACCAGGCTGCAGCCCAGAGCCTCTTCTGAGCATCCCTGATGCAGCAGTGCCTAAAGCACAGCTCTGAACCACAAGTGTTTCCACAGACACATCCCACTGATGAAGTGCACTCCAAGCTCCACTGTGCCATTTTTCATGTGATCTATGAATGGCTCCTGGGTGGCAGGAGTTTCTGGGGTGCAGCAGCAGGAGGTCCAGTGACATATCCTGTTGAGGGAGAGTCAGCAGCCTGTGCCATGGGTTGTTGGCAAAGTACCTGTTTAGGCTGTGATGCAGACTGCCAGATCAGAAAAATGCTGCACACTTTACTGACATTGCTTATCTGCTTTATCTCAGGGATGCAAACAATAAAGAATGACCTGAGTGAGCTCATCCCAGTCCAGGCTGGGATTTGGACCACACTTAGTCCCTTTGGAGCTGCAGGGGCTGTGGTTATGCTGGTTGGAAGATGGGGATTTGCTTGGTGTGAAGCAGCTGTGCTGTTCTGTGCCTGTGCTTGCCTTGGGTGTGTGGGTGTAGGGGAGGAAAATTTCTCTTTGCAAGTTAGAAATACTCAGGTGTTTCTCTGCCCTGCTGCTCCCTGAGTGGGTGAATCCCCACCAGGAGAGTGTGGGGTCCCAACCTTGTGCCACTGCACACAGATGCTCTGGCATCCCCTAAACACTGTCACTGCACTGAGGGTCTGAGACCTTTCTGCACAGATGTCAACTGATTCTTATTTTTAAAGCATTTTTAAAGACCTATCAATGCATTTATATTCGAAATTACAAGTTCTGAATAACTCTTGGCTCAATGTAAAGGCAAAAGGGCGAGTGATCAGATGTACTGAGTGAGTTCTCCACGAAGGCTGCACTACCCTGACCCCAGCACTGTTTTCTTTGGTCCCTTTCCAAAGGCCAGGGCTGGTGTCCTGGCAGGGAAAGCGATGTCACAGCTCCCTCTGCTGGGACGGGGTCTGGGAGAGCAGGATAGGACCCACAGGGATCCACTGCTGCCAGCAGGACCTGCACCCCCAGGCCAGTCCTCAGGTGAGGCTGTGATCACTAAATTCACTCTCTTCCTCATGCACAGGTGAACCTCATCCAAGTCTTCTGCCCCTTCTCTGGGTAACTGCCAGAGCACCAGCTGCCCACCATGAACCAGTCCCCAGCCCCACGTGTGCCTTTGGGTCTGTGCTGGGTGCAGGACAGAAGAGATTTGCCACGGCTCACTCCAGGGCCACTCCAGTGCAATGGGAACCAGTTTATCCCAGCAGATGACAAAGAGAAGTGGATCTATTGGCTTGGCACCCACTGGAGACTTTAGCAGGCCAGGCACTGGGGTATGAAGGGTATTTCAGAGGTTTAGGCATCCTGGGCATGCACACTCCCTAGCTTTTGCTTTTTTGCCTAGAAGCAGCCAAGCAGCTGCTGATGTTGAGCTGATGCTGACAAAGATCCTTTCTCCCAACTTTTATTTCCTTAAGAGAGCCAATGAAAAGGTTTGGTGACATGACAGTAGCCAAGTGCTATGAGACGTGTTCCTGCATAGCTACGACTAAGCCCAAAAATGCCATTTGGGTTCACCAAGCCCTGAGATCAATGTGTTTACCTCTGTGACAGAGGAAGAAACTGAAACTGAGCATCAATGCAGTGTGGCAGAGCCAGAGATGGGCTCTGTGGGATGAGAAGGGTGGTCTGTGGACATGGGGCATCAAAGCCCCAGAACATGCTCCTGCATTTGGATCTCATGCGTGTTCCTTGAGGCTTGGTCCATGGTTTCCAACCAGTTTTGTCCCACAGAGTGTGGGGCCACAGCCCTGGAAGGACGCAGCATCCAAAACCCTGGCCAAAGAGATGTTTCCTCCATTCCACCCCCCTCTATCCAGCTGGGTTGCTGCATCCCACTGGGCATGGTGGAGTGTGAGACAGGAACGTGGCTGTCCCCAGCTCCTCAGAGCTCAGCTTGCCCTGTGGCTGCTCTGCCCATCGGAACTTCCATGGGGAAACCTCACGGTGCTCATTACACTCCACAACCGAGAACAACAAGCTCCTTTCGGAGAGGGCGCTTGTGAAAGCAGGGTGGAGGCCAGGGCTGGCACACCCTAGAGAACACCCTTAAATACCCTCCCAAACAGAAACCCAGCCAGGCAGAAGGTTTCCCCTACCCGCTGCTGCCAACGAGCAAACACTGTCCCTTGTCCCTGCCTGTGGCACCAGAGCAGTCAGACACAGGGCAGGTCCTGCAGTGGATGGCAGCATGTCCTCAACCAGTGATCCCAGGGATGGTAGTCCTGTAACACCCCAAGCCACAAACCCCAAACTGCCCTGTGCCTGTGTTAAATGGGGCTTCCCAGCAAAACCAGTCCCCTGGGTTTAGCTTGGATGCATCTTTCCTTGTTCCTGACAGCGTAGGAGATGGTGTGTAGGGAATGGGGAAACGCCAATGGGCCATGCCAGTGGTGCAGGCATGATATGGACACTCCATCCTTGAGCTGGACAGCCCCAGCTCCTCCACTGAAGGATCATTGCTCACAAAAGTGATGCTGACTCCCAGGCCCTGCCTTTATCCCAGGCAGCTGCTGCAAGGGGGATGTGTTGGCACTCATTAGCACTCAGACGGTCCAGACGTCAGTCTGGAGTGGGAAGAGAGCAGGGGAGGTTTTTGGGCATGACTGAGGTCATATGGTGGTGGTGTTGGAGGTGTGGGTTTGCAGGCACCATTGCAGCATTCCTGCTTGGCTGCTGGGTACCACTGCTGGCCCATGGGGACACGGCTGCATCCCCAGGCTTCTGGCAGCACCAGGTTATTGGCACACCACATGTGCATCCAGGGCTGCTGCCCTTGGATGGCACAAATGGTCAGCCTTGCCATGTGGGACTGACATGGGAACTGAGAAAGGACATCAACCACAGGACACCAGACAGGGCCTACAGAGAGGACCAGGGAGAGGCATTTTCCTTGGGCTGGAGCATCTTGTCCTCAGCCCTGCCTGGTGTTCCTCTCCCCCAGGCTCGCCTGGAGTTGGTGACAACCACGGTGCCCACACCGGAGGGTGACTCTGGGGTCCAGGACCTGCCAAGCCAGCATGGGCCATTTCACCTCACTTGCTTAACTATTTCCTGCCCATCCCACCAGGGATTCACTTCCTGGCCCAGCAGCTGAGTAATGCATGGCTGCAGGAAGGTGCATGGCCAGGATAGAGGCAAGGGGATTGCTGCAGAGCACCTCCAGCGTGCTCTGGCTTTGCTGTCCCTTGCATGGTGTCCCCTGGCAGCCCAGAACAGGGATGGATGTAGCACTGATACAGCCTGGGTTGGATGCAGCACCTCATGGGGGCCTTGCTTTTGGGAGTCTCTATGGCTATTCTCAAAATCAAAGTGCCCCAAAGGCAGGAACATGGACACAGCTCAGCCTGTCTTCCCAGTGACACAGTTGCTGAGTGGGCCAGGAAAGTGGGAGAAGTTGAGGGACATTTTATTTAAATTCTGACTTCAGATATTAATAGAGCAAATAATTTTCTACATTTGCAATTCATACATCCTCTAATTAATGCAATTTATAAGTACTAGCAAAATATCAAGCAGTGCCATAGATTCTGGCATCAGTTTCCTCATGGCTGGAATGAGCTCCCTGGAACCTATTGTCCTGGTACCCATCATCCTGGATTGCTCCCAAGAAGAAGCACAGGGAAACACCTGCAGATAGCACTGAGCATCTGAGGGGGGAGCCAGGGCACAGAAAGGTGTGAGGCATCACCAGTGCCCTGGGCCCACTCTAGATCCATCCCAATGGGCACTGACAGTACTGCTGGGAAAAAGCATGCTTGGAGCACAGGCACCACCTGACTATCCCAGGACATCATCGTCCCCAGCTGCTGAACATCCCTGGTCCCCCATGACACCCAGGCTCTGGCACAGCCCTGAAACCAGCAGTGAGGATGGGCTCATGGAAACACTGCTGCAGGAAAACTGCAACTGGGGAACTATTTTAGGAGGACTTGACTTGAACCCAGTGATGGAGCTGGCTCTGTGCCACTCCACATGCTGGGGTCAGGGCTGAGCATTCAGGCACAACCCCAGCAACACAAGATCCCCTGCATGAACAAAGAGACAGCTCAGCAGGGACACCTACATCCCAGGGTGGCAGATCACTTCAGCAGGGAC